CCGAATTGCGTAACAAAAGTAAAAAAAGCGTTAACGAGAAATTAACGAAAGCAATTAAGAAGTTACAAGAAAGATTATTTTATTAAAAGCAACAATTTAGACTGAAATGTTGCGATATGTGAGTAGAATAAGTCTAATTGAGTAATTTATATTTTTTATAGATTGAGAACATAAGCTTTATTTTCGTTAAGTGATTCATATGATAGTTAAAACGACTAAACGACTCAAAGGCTGCTATTATATTGGATTAATATTGCCATCGAATACTGAAATTTTTAGTTGGTTTAATGCTCTGTAAAGCAATTGTGCAAGAAAAGAAGTTAAGGAGAGTACGTAGATGAAGGCACTGTTATTGTAAATAAAATGCGAAAACTTATGTGATATAATGAGTTATGAATAATATAAATCACAACATGATACGTATTCACGATGTTGAAAAAAAACTCGAGGGAACCAAGTGCACGGTGTACATACACCGTTATATGATTAGCATTATGAAACTTGTACGATTATATTTACGCGTCCATTAGACAGATATTTAATTTTAATAGACTCAAATAAGAAATAAGCGTTCACGCGAGCGTTTTTGGCGGTTACCGAAAAATAAAGGAGAGAAAAAGAAGTCGAATTTCTAATTTTGATGTTGGTTGTTATTCTGTACCAAGATTGTAGTAATTTCTTCCCTACTTTTAGCGTAAAAACATAATTTGACACAGTTGAAACTACAAGAACCAGTGTATCCATTGTATAAGATCCTTGTATAATAAGAATAAATACAGGGATACTGCATAAAGTATTATACGATGAGAAAGAATTACACATGCTTCATAACATGCTGTAGTTTTTTTCTCTAATATAAACTCAGCACTGGACAGTGATCTAATTTATGCTCGAAAGAAACACATTACATTGTTAAGTATTGTGTATATATAAGATTAACAATAGTGTAATCCTTATTCTTTAACTAAGTAGTAATTTATTCTCTAGCATTCGCGAAGGCTCCATTGCTATTTTATTAAACATGATCATAGAGAAAACGTTTTTTGATTTCTTTTGTATAAATATATTTATTATTAATTCATTTGTATCACAATAATAACGATGTTTTCAGAATAAACCACATTAGTTTTATTTAAATTTGAATATAAATTGATATATTCATGTGAATTTGAGTAAAGAAGAACTTAAAGTAGACTAGCGAGAGGAATATAAGATGTTGGAAGGCTTTGGAAATTAATTATTGCGCGACATTGATTAAATGATAATAATTCTGATATATTTTTCGAAATTTGCATGTTAGAATTATATTATAGTATAGCTAACTTTGCTTAAAATTAAAAAATTTTAAAATTATATTTAAAATTAAAATATTTTAAACTTATGACATTAATATTTTGTTAATGAAAAGATTTTATATTTAAAGAATTTTTATGAAATAGAGAGAAAAGAAGGTGACATTCTACCCCACGCATTTTGTACATGCTTTGAGCTATTTATTAATAAATAATTATGAGATTTGATTGCGATTGCGATATAAGAAACGTAATTGTACCAAGCATACTTGGCAAAAGCGTGACATATCCCGAATAAATCGTGAATTCAAGTGATTGAGAATGTAGCAAATTTCCCTTGTTTGACAATTTATGACAGTTATAAAATCGTGTAGATGAATAACACAATACAATCAACAAAGAAATAATGGATCTTTGTATTCTACACGATATCACGACGAAAAGTCAGAGGTGCTCATATATTCGCAGAATAGTATAATTGTCAACAGAATGGCTTTATTTAAATATAATGTATATACGTATATATGCATATTTATAGAATCTACAGAATGTTCGAGCGATGTATAAAAAACATAAATAAATTTTTTTTATAAATCCTTTTTTGTTATATGCAATATTGCTTTTATCCCATTCTACATGTAATGCAAAGCACATTATCTTATAATAAAATACAAATAAAAGCCAAGTCAATTATAATGCTGTGATTAACAGTTACTAAAAAATTATCTAAAATGTAAAAGACGCCAAATAAATGAGCCTTAAAAAACTGTATATTAAAATGTTCTTACTTAAAAGATAATGTATATTTCACATATAAAAATAAATTAACACATTTTATAATAACAGCTTTTTTATTTTGTCTAATTTTGTTGTAACATATAATTTGTTCAGATTTTTAAGCTGAAGGTAAAAATACTCAACCAACTATCGAACTTTTTATAAATATACTTTCAGTAGATCTATATATCTAATATATATGAAAAAAAAAAGAATTTTGCTATCGTAGTAGTTGCTATTGCATATTAAATGTAACAAAACTGCTACTATAACTAATTTTGCAAATTATTCAGTATATCAAAATCTATTTTGCTTAAAATAGATGAATTTTGCTGAGTACCTACATTTGTTCGTAAAGACACATTAATTTGTTACTACAACAAAATAATTTATTTCCAACAAATGTATTTTAAATGCAGCAAAGTTATCGCTGCCAATACAAATTTTGATGGCAAAATACAAATAAATTTGTTATAATAGCGATATAATTTGCACATTTAACAAAATAATTTGCAATAAATAAAATTAGAGAGCATCCGTAACAAATCTTTTTCTATCCATATAATAACTAACATGTTTTTTTATAATAGCATAAAATTTGCTAGCAAATTTTTTTTCCATGTATCTTACCTGATGTGTAGTGGTTAAAAATTCATATTATCTACTGCTTGCGTTTACTCAATGACGTTATAGATATTTGCATTTTAAATACTTTTTTGCACATCGTTTCTATTCGCACTTCGTTTCTATTAAAGAATTTATTAAAATAATTATATATCTAACTCTTTTTACGTTCTAAAATACATTTTACAAATCCGTGCAATAGCAATCTTTTTAAAATGTAAAAAATATATACTGATTGTGAGTAAATTTTACATAAAACGTTTTTCGAAACAATAATTTTAAAGATATACAAAAAAATTTTTTAGGTATAGTAGCAATAATAAAAACGCGCATGTCTTATGCATTACATATCCTTGAGAATATTATACATATATTTGAATAAATTGCTTTAAAAAATTTTTAATTTAATATATGTAAGTATAACATATCATATGTGTACACATATGTGTACAAAGAATAATCAAGACAATTCACACTTAATATTTTTGGACGCAAAATTGAAAGTGATACTACCTTTATTCTTCAAAGGTCTTTTTTTAATATATGAATTGTCAAAATATACGATTTTGACATAGAATATCTTAAGAAGAAAACTCGACATTAGACATTTGAAACGTGACCTCTGATAAAGTAAGAAAGGCGATTAAGAATCAAGCGTGGTTGTAGGACACCGATCAAATACCTAGATATTTAATTTCAATAAACTGCACGTGTTCTGTGCCTCAATAACTGAGTTTTTAATTGCCTTTCTTAATTAATTTGCTCACGGCTTATATGTTTAAAATTAATATTTTATGTCTCCTTGCTGTGCAGGGAAGATTTTCTTCCACTTTCTTCTGTCATATCTTTATAAAATTTATAACTTACATCTACTTAATTAGTTCTTTATTTTTCAAAATTTTTATGCTAATATTTTATTATCTAACTTTTAACATATATGAATTTTAAATATGTAACATATTTTTGTTTCGAAAAACTTTATGGAAATATTAAACTTACGTAAATCTATATATATATATATATAATGCCTTAGAATATATTAATATAAGAGCCTTCATTCACACACAACGGATTGATTGGCATATAAGAAGCGATAATATCTATGATATTATCATGACCAGACTATTCTTTACCGATCAATTTTTGAACATAGACATACATGTCGTGAGAAACAAGTGCTATGAGACTGGATAAGTTGTCTAAGGAAGATAAATGTGACCTTCAACGCGATATGGATAGACAGAATATATTTTTTATTTTCATATATTAACATAAAGCGATACTTAGAAAAAAAACATATCTGTATATATACAATGTAGATGCGCGTGCAATTTATTATGCGCATATCATATTTTCTTATTTTTCTTGATATTATTTTACATCACAGTATCTATTGTATAAGTTTGACTGTTAATTTGAGCATATTTTTAGCACTCCATATTTTTTAACAAGAGAACTCGATTCTGTACATAATCTTCTTATTCATTAATCATCTGATTTTATCAGAAAGAATTATGGAATTATGCAATAAGAGTATTATATAAGTCAACAGGTCTAATGATAAATACATTCGTTTTTTATCGCGATTGTTAAGATTTGACTATCATCATTAAATCATGTTTCTTTTCATCTTTGAAAAAGTGACTAATGATATAATAATGGCTAATTATTTTCTTGTAAAACAAACGAGTTCAATTATGCCTCTTAGCACTCAAATAAATAGTAATAAATTATTCTTCTATAAAACAAATGGGATGCTAAACGTTCCACATCAAGGTGATTTTGATTTTTGTGTTACGATTCTTAACAGATTTCTTTTTTGAAACAATGTCAAGCAACATGGAAGTGCTGACTAAGCAGACATTTATAATTCTCCTTTTTTGTTACAATTATCGAAAAGTCAGGCAAAAAAGATGAAAAGATTATCCAGTAGATTATTTATTAACCGAATTGATTATTTTTTAGCTGTGAATTCTTGGTTTTGCCTACGAATATTATAAATAAGTATAAATTAATCCTAAGTTTATAAAAAACCCGTAGAGAGAGAATCCATGATCAATATTTCTCCTCATCATGATGAATCATCACAAAACAAATGACAATTATATCTATCCTTGACAAATTTTCTAAGACTACTGATTGTCCAGAATTGTCATATTTTATGGCAATAGCATACGGAGCATGCATTTCGTACAAATTCAAGCAGATTGACAGTATCACTCGTCATACATATTTACATTCAGTCAGTAGTTAGTGCAGTGCATCCCCACTATTTTGCAAGCAAAAATATGATACATCGTATCTAAGATAGTCTCATAACGTGTTCGACAACGTATCGTAACTGATGTATTCTTGGCATCATCGTGTACTTCAGTTTCAGTGCTCGCTATTTGATTTTTACATTCTGTAAAAGGCAATGCTATCTATCCAATCTAACATCTAAAAATTTGAAAATAAACAGTGAATAATATAATAAAATTCAAATAACTTTGAATTGTGAAGTTTGCCCGTTTATTTCTTAGAGGCATCGAATCGAAATTATACAACAGTATAAAATAGTATTAAAAAAATGCGGATACTGCTATTGATATTTCCTTGGCTATTGTGCTCATCGATTTGCCATGGATATCGTTTCCTCGCAATATTCCCTTTTAACAGCCACAGTCATTTCATGATGTTTGAACAGCTGGTAAAGGGTCTGATCAAAAAGGGTCATCAAATCGATGTGATTAGTAATTTCCCATTGAAAAAGCCTTATCCGAACTATACCGATATCGTGTCGTTTACACCACCTGTAACGCTAACGAACAGTCTGACATACGAATTTCTGACAGAAACATTGGTCGGGATAAGTCCAGTATTTATTGTTGCGGGAATAGCTGGTAATGATCTTTGCAAATATTTGGCGCTTCCGAAAATACAAGAGCTAGTGCGCAACCCACCGAAAGATCCACCATATGACGCAGTATTGATGGAGGTATGTAAATAGAAAAATAAATTATTAAATCAATGGGTAGAAAAATATATCTCAATATTATAAAAATTGCATATTTATAGAACAAAATTTTTCCGTTTACAAGTGCAAAACAAGAAATATTCTTAATACAAAAGTTTTAAATTGATATATCTGTTTAAAAAAGAGCGCGCAATTGCGCTCTTTTACAATTTACAATTCTCTTATACAAATAATTAGTTACTTTTATGTAATTCATTATCTTCTATAAAAATGACAAAAAGCATTAATTTAGCTGCTAAAAGGTTTGATCAGAAAGGGGTTATCAAGTCAACGTGATTAATAATTTCCCATTGAAAAAGAATTATCCTTACTCTATCGATATGGTGATATCAATTTAATGATAGCTAATCAAATCTTGATAATCGTGTTATCCTGTTGCAATTGTGTCGAGCTTGCAACAATTTTATTAGTTTTGTTATTTTATTTCGTGATCTCTTTCGAGACTTAAACGGTTAATTAGGTTAACTAGATTAGGTTAACTAGGTTAACTAGATTAACTAGGTTAACTAGATTAAAAGATTAATAAAGTCTAGAACTGCAGCAGAGTGTGTAATTTTATTCCAATAGCTATAAGTGCAATGATAGATGTTTCAATCTTATTTTTTATTTTGTTTAATGCAAGCTAGAAAAAGTTTTCTAATGACTAATTTCTAATAAAAGATTTCTAATATTTTCTAATAACTGATTAAAATTAATGAAATACAGTGAAACAGTAAAAAAAATTACAATAAAAATTATTAAAAGACATATATGTAAATTGCTGTATGATGTGATGTCATCATAAATCATCAACATAATTTAATGTGTGTTAAAAATTTTTCAAATCAATAAAGCGAAAACAACTGATAGTTAAAACCTCCAACAAAAATATCATTGAATCAGAATTTTTTGCAAGATACGACGGAGAACATGATATAAATTTAACATAAGAATTTAAAATATTGTATAAAAAATAAGATACAGAATAATTTCTTATTGAAAATGGCACAAACAATATTTATTTAACAAATACAAGTATATACATGTTCAGGAAAACAATATTTATTTATATTATCTAACAAACATTTACAAATATATTCAAGAGATTTCAGAGTTGTAATTTTTAAACTTTCTGCGAAAAAAATTTTCCACAATTTCGACTTACTTTTTAACAATAAATTACCTAATATGTACCGCGTTTTTCGCCGCATCCTGTATAAAGTAATTAAAAGTTCTCGATAAAATAATATTTCAAATATTATAAATCAATATTTTAAATTATTTGTTCAAGAATATGCTTGCTCGTTTATATTTTTAAACAATTTATTTTGCTTTATTGATAAGATTATTGATAAGATTATGATTTATAATGATGACGTAAACTGCATATATTCTTTGTTTTATAATGGTGAAATAGTTTAGGATACTCATGATATGAGTGTGGAAAAGACATGTTACAATGTGATATATTAAAAATTCGATACGTGAATATGTAAAATGAGTTTGATTTGTTCAACATAGTTATTTTGTCGTGAAGATACAGCAATGAGCAGAACATGTTTGTATACTATTCAAAAATTTTGAATGAGTGAGCAGTTCGGATGACTTGAATCTCAACATCTAATGTTAAATTTTAAACTATAAATATGCCAGCAATTTAAACTATTCCGATATACATTCAGCATATACAACATCTAACATATACTTATTTATACTTATTACAATATCACTTAAATTTTAATTTTTATTAGATCTATTAAAATAATCCTACTTCCAATTGTTAATTTAACAGGTATTAGGACAAAGTATAAATTAGGTATTGATTGAAAGTTGATACAAAAAGCTTATTTACTGCTTTCTTATTAAGATCTGTTTTAAATCAAGTTAATATGTAGAATTGTAAAGTTTCTTTAAAAAAAGAACTTAAAAAGTTTTTTTTCTCTTGTAAATGGAAAAATGTACTGAATGAGCCAATAATTGACTGTTTTAATTAGTAAACATTATTTTGGAATTATAATAAATATGAAACTAAACAATTATCAACTTTAAAAATTTTTTCAAGACAGTCTAACAGTAAGGTGTAAAATGCTCATGTGATCATACTCTATTAGGTTTTTGGTGCTCAATGTTTCGCCGTCATTCCCCATATATTAAATATTCCTGTGATCGGGGTCAGTTCAACGGTGCTATATCCATGGCTGTACCAAATAATCGCTCAACCTCACAACGTAGCCTTCGTTCCGAACAATTGTATAACCGGGCTTACCGGCTCCATGAATTTCTTGGAACGTTTATATAACACCGTGAACATGGCTTATAACAATCTGCTCTTCAATTATCTCACAAGCGGGCAGGACGAAATTCTTAAAGAGCACTTTGGACCGAACATACCGAGTGTGCGGGAGCTAGAAAGGAAAGTAGCATTGATTCTCGTCAACTCTCACATCGCTGTAAATATAATCCAGCCAACGACACCTGCTGTGGTAGACGTAGGAGGGTTGCATGTCGTGGACAACGACTTAACATTACCACCTGTACGTTTTTTGAAATTATTTTCGCCTTTTGATATGCTTACGAATTACGATCATTATGATCATACATACATGATAGTCGTCAGTTTGATCTCTTGTAATGCTAATAACTCTATTCTGCGAAAAATAATTCGACTAAAATGAGTCAGCAGCATACGTTCTGCATGTTTTACGTACGTAAATTATCTTGTGTTCTATGACTTGCACATCTTCATGAATTACATCAGAAATTAATACTGGTATCAACACTGGCATATTATTAGTGTTGCAAACATAAAAAAAAGTAGAGTTAAAAAATCTTTGGTATCCGGTTGGAATAATCTATAACCCAATTTTGCAGTATAAAGTTTTATCACTTCCTCTTATTTCACTTGAGTTTTTAAAACTGCTTTAGAAATTATAGCTTATTTTATAAATATGAATTTTACTTAATGCTATGTTGCCTCATCATAAAGATAACTTTACTCTTATTTTATGACATTGCAAGAATAAGTTTAATGATAAGATTTCTTTTATACATAAAAATATAAAACGGATTATTTATGGACGCCTCATGCAAGTAATATTAATTCTACTGTTTTATTATCTATGGAAAACAGAGCATAAAGTAAAAACATGTGTAAATGTATATAACATAATATAATACTTGCTTTGTGCCAATGTTTTATCTGTAGGCTTTGGAGAAGTGGATGAACGAAAGTAGAGACGGCTTTATTTACTTAACTTTTGGCTCGATGGTGATGATTGAAACATTTCCACTCAAGTTTCTGGATATACTTTACTCCTCTTT